GGAAAGGCTCCTGTGGAAAGTATTTACCGAAAGGAGGATCATATGGTCATTTTTTTTAAGCTGACTGGGTAAATCACCAAGTGCCATCTACCTCCCATGTTGATATTTTTGTTTATCACAGCAGCTTTAGCAAATGTGGAGCATCACATTCTTAATTTGTTTTACAACTAGCAGAGTTATTAACTGATAAATGAAATTTTTACCAATTCCAGTTGGGAGTGACACGCAAACATTGTTGCCATGTTTTTTTTCTTTCAGCCTGGTGGCGTTTCTGGTTGATGTCATACACGTCCCTGCATTTCCTTGGCTCTATACATATCTGTATTTAAGGCTAATGCATCTTTTGGCTTCTGGCAAGATGTTTTCTCTTGGTGTGACAGTGGTGTTGGATGGAGGAGTTTCTCCTGCAACCGGAGGGTTGTCAGTTTAGGACCCGGTTTTCCGTATGGTTGTGGCATTGTGCAAGACACTTCAGCCAAATTGCATACTAATGGTGGTCAGAGGGAATGGTGGTGACAGTGTACGGCAGCCTCACTTCTGTCAGTGAGCCCCAGGGCAGCTGTGGCTACAATCCAGCTTGCCATCTTCAGTGTGTGCGTGAATGGGTGAATGATTAAATGTTGTTTAAATTGCTTTGGTCATGTCTGCTAATTTGAAAAAGTACGATATACTTACAGGCCATTTACCATTTCCCAGGAATTTGTGAAGTCACAAATGTGGTGACTATTCATCTTGCTGGAAAGGGAAGGTTGTGAGGCGTTGAGTAGAATGAGATCCATTCTTCCTAATATTTCATGAATAGTAACAGTGTTTCCTTACTGATTTGATGAAAGATCTATTAGATCTCTGCTGCAGCTGGGAGAATAGGGCCACTCTTTACCCCATCCAGACAGTATCTTGCTCACGACCAAAATCTAATAAATTGGCAAAGATTCTCAAAGGAGTAAATCATGATAATCTAATTAAAATGAAAATAACTGCAATTGAGGAAAAAGTTAAAACGATCAAATATGCTCCGTTTAACATAAGATCTTTCCTCTAAAAGTCTGCTAGTTAATGACTTGATTTGTGATAATCAAATTGATTTATGTTGCCTTACAGAAAACTGGATGCAGCAAGAGGATTATGTAAGTATTAATGAGTCTGACTTACTGATTACTCCCCAGGCAGTTAATACTTACAACTCTTTTAAACATTTAACCCTTAATTTCCCTCATCCAAATTGCAAAGCAGAAAACCTCTTCTTTTTGTAACTTTGTATCGTCCACCAGGTCTTTACTCTGAATTTTAAGACGAGTTTTCAGAGTTCATTTCTAATTTGGTATTATATAATGATAGGGTCATTATAGTGGGAGATTTTAACATCTATGCTGACACTGAAGGCGATAGTTTAAGAGCAGCCTCTAATGCCATCTTAGACACTATTGGCTTTATTCAAAATGTGAATAGTCCCACACATGCTCATCTTCATACTTTGGATTTTGTGCTGACATACGGCATAGAATGTGAGGAAATAACAGTATTTCCTCACAACCCTGTCCTCTCTGACCACTTTCTAATAACTTTCAAGATTACTTTAACAGAGTTCTCCTCCCCGAAAAAGAAGGTTACATTTTAGCAGATCATTATCAGATAGTTCAGTTATAAATTTTAAAAAATCAGCTTCACTTTCTGTCTCCTCTGTGTCGCTGAGCAGTTCTGCAGAGTGCAAAAGCTTTATTCCCCATCACAGGTTGATGATTTTGTTGAGGGGGTTGCTAGTTCTCTGCGTACTGCCTCAGACAATGCAGCTCCTTTGAAAATGAAAACCATTCGAAATAGAAAGCTGCCTCCTTGGTTTAATGCAGAGCTGCGCACTTTGAAGCAAAATGCTAGGAAACTGGGGAGAAAATATCGCTCCAAAGGCCAGCGGGAGTCCTTCCTAGTCTGGAAAAATAGTTTACTGCTGTATAAGAGGACCCTTTGTAAAGAAAGAGCGGCATATTTCTCCTTATTAATAGAGAAAAGTAAGAATAATCCTAGATTTCTTTTTAATACAGTTGCCAAACTCAGCCAGAGTCATAGCTTAGTTGAACCGCCCATTCCACCTTCTCTTAGCAGTAAGGATTTTATAGGATTCTTTATAAATAAGATTGATCCGCGATTGGTTTGTCTCTGGAGGGTGGGGCAGCATCTGAGGTAGTCATGGAATCTGAACCGGGTTTAGACTGCTTTGATCCAGTTGAACTCTCAGAGTTAGAAAAACTATTGTCTTCATCTAAGCCTTCAACTTGTATGTTAGATCCAGTTCCAACCAGGTTATTTAAGGAGGTATTCCCTTTGATCTCCTCCTCCATTTTAGATGTGATTAATCTATCTCTGTTACAGGGATATGTACCTAAGGCTTTTAAGGTTGCTGTAATTAAACCTCTGCTTAAGAAGCCGTCTCTTGACCCAGATGACTTGGTTAATTATAGACCTATATCCAATCTTCCTTTTTTATCTAACATTCTTGAGAAAGTAGTTGCCAGACAAGTGTGCAATTACTTACACCAAAATGAACTTTTTGAAGAGTTTCAGTCTGGCTTTAGAGCTCATCATAGCACTGAAACAGCTCTGGTGAAAACCACTAATGATATTCTCATGGCCTCAGATAATGGACTTGTATCTGTGCTCGTCCTGTTGGATCTCAGTGCTGCATTTGATACAGTTGACCATAATATTCTTTTCGAAAGACTTGAATATTTTGTTGGAATTAACGGAACAGCACTAGACTGGTTTAAATCTTATCTATCTGATCGAATTCAGTTTGTTCATGTTAATGATAGATCTTCAACATGATCAAAGGTTACCTGTGGAGTACCACAGGGATCAGTGCTAGGACCAATTCTCTTTACTTTTTATATGCTCCCGATTGGTAGAGTTAATAGACAGCATGGGGTTAATTTTCACTGTTATGCTGATGATACCCAGCTATATCTGTCTATAAATCCAGATGAAGCTAACCCATTACATAGATTACAGGCATGTCTTGAAGACATACAAACCTGGATGACTCTTAACTTTCTGCTTCTGAATGCAGACAAAACTGAAATTATAATCTTTGGACCAGAGTCTCTGAAAAAGAAACTGATTAGCCAGTCACTTCATTTGGATGGGATTAAACTGATTTCAGATAATAAAGTGAAAAATATTGGTGTTGTTTTTGATCAGGACCTGTCATTTAAATCCCATATCAAAGAGGTTTCTAGAATTTCCTTCTTTCATCTGAGGAATATTGCAAAATTGAGAAATCTCCTGTCCAGGGGTGATGCTGAAAAACTAGTCCATGCATTTGTTACTTCAAGGCTGGACTATTGTAATTCTTTACAATCAGGAAGTCCACAAACTGTAGTTAAAAGCCTTCAGCTGATCCAAAATGCTGCAGCCAGAGTTCTAATGAAAATTAAAAAGAGAGATCATATCTCTCCTATCCTGGCTTCTCTTCATTGGCTTCCTGTTAAATCCAGAATAGAATTTAAAATCCTCCTTCTCACATATAAAGCCTTAAATGGCCAAGCTCCATCTGATATCAGAGATCTGATTGTTCCTTATGTTCCTAACAGAGCACTTCGCTCTCAATCTGCAGGTTTACTAGTGGTTCCTAGAATTTCTAAAAATAGAATGGGAGGCAGATCTTTTGGTTATCAGGCTCCTCTCCTGTGGAACCAACTACCAGTTTTAGTCTGCGAGGCAGACACCCTGTCTACTTTAAGGCTAGGCTTAAAACTTTCCTTTTTGATAAAGCTTATAGTTAGAGTGGCTCAGGTTATCCTGAGCTATCTCTATAGTTATGCTGCTATAGGCTTAGACTTCAGGAGGACATAGAGACCCCCATTTCATCATTCTGCTTCATTCTCTCTCTATTCTCCCACTCTGCAGAATCTGTTAGTTCAATCTCCAAAGTTATGCTCTCTCTGTTTTTTCTCATAGTAGCTTCATCTGGTTTGTTCCTATTTGGCTGTGACACCATCCTGGAGAGAAATATCAGCTGTGGTGCTGCCACCAACACCTTTGTTTATAGATGTTGGAGATCGGCCTTTTTTCCAGTGCAGTCCTGTTTCTCTGACTGTGACTGGCTGGATGTGCTCTCTTCATCCTCTGACATGGGAGTTGGCTCAGAGCTCGTCTGCCTGGCTGTGTGTTTCCTGGATGGGGCCGCCTTTTACAGCTGCTTTTTGTGTCTCTGCTTCTGTGTCCTTAAACCACAATTGGCCTCTGCAAATGGCCGCTCACACTGAGCCTGGTTCTGCTGGAGGTTTCTTCCTGTTAAAAGGGAATTTTTCCTCTCCACTGTCACGACAAGCAAGTGTGAGGGATTGCATTTGAGTCAATGAGTCGATGCAATCAACTGGTTTTCCTTAGATAGAAAACTTTAAATCAATCTGACTGGATGACCTGGTTGAACTGTAAAGTGCCTTGAGATGACATGTGTTGTGAATGGAGCTATAGAAATAAACTGAACTGAATTTAATTAACCTGTTCTGAGAATAGAGCAGTGAAGCCAACTCATTAGCTTTATTCAACAAATATAATTATTATGTAAGGAGTTAATATTTGGTTTAGGTTTTAATTTGCAGAAGAACAGACATGCAGCACAAGACCCTTTCTTTCCCTCACTGTAAAAGAGCTGTAAAAGGTGTATTTACAGACAAAATGTAAACATGATGAATCAATCTAAATTATATTAAAGAATAAATAATAATCCTAGCAGCTTTCTTCAGCATTTTCATGTTGACACAGAGATAGTAATGTCTTTCCTAAATAAATTCTTTGTTTTGTTTTTCATAATGAACAAAAAGGGATCATAAAAAAGACGTTATTCTTAAAATGACCACAGATATTACTTGTAAGTTATAAATTAAAAAAATTTGGTTTGCTAGACATAGTTAAGACCTGAGGTTGTGGTATCGTTAACACCGTAGAGACCCTCAAAAAGCTACTGTTTGAGAGGTGGAAAAACAAAACAAAACAAAAAAAACTCTCAGCTATTTTTTATTCTTGAAACAATCAAAACATTTCAGGAACAGATTTTTACACAAATTGCGTATTTTGGACACGTTCAGGCCATACATCACAGGGTTAAAGAGCGAAGGAAACGTCAGAAAGTACAGAGATAACAGTATTTGAAGCACCCGGGGAACGCTGCTCATGTTAAACCTGCTCTGGATTATTTCAAACACACATCCAACGCAGAAGTTAATGATAGAGGCCAGGTGAGGGGTGCAGGTGCCAACTGCTTTCTGTCGGGTCTGTTTGGACCCAGAAAAACATACCTTCAAAATCCTCATGTAGGTGTAGAGAATCAAACATACTGGAAGAAAAACGCTGAGAGCAGTGCTGATAAGGCCATAAATGTTATTCACTGTGGTATCAGAGCAAGCCAGTTTAACTATAGAGTAGTTGTTGCAGTAAACTTTGTTTATGATGCTTCCACAAAGCTGTAGAGAGAAACTTAAAGATGTCATTATTATTACCAGGAGAAAGGCAGCAAACCATGAAGCTGAAGTAAGAACAGAGATCCTCTTCGCTCTCATCACTGCCTTATATCGCAGCGGGTAGCAGATAGCCACATAACGGTCATAGGACATGACAGCTAAGATGAAGAACTCCACAGTTACATAGCTGTGGATACAGAAGATCTGCAGGAAACAGAGAGGAGCAGCAATAGCGTGAACATTGGAGAGTATCTGAACTAGCAGGAGGGGAAACAAGGCTGTGCTGCCATACAGCTCATTCACAAATAGGCTGCACAGAAACATGTACATGGGTTCATGTAGGCTCCTGTTCACACAGATTACCACGATCAGCACGATGTTAGAACCAATGATCAGAACATAGAGACACAGGACGACAAGGAAGAACAAGTATTTCAACAGCTTGGTGTCAAAGTAAGCCCCTAAAGTCAAAAATAAAACCTGTGTCGAGTTCATAATGATTATTTGCTGCATATAGAGTTCAGCTGGTTTGAAAAAACTAGAATTAAAACAGACACTTCCTTTCCTGCTTAAACTGGTATTAACAACCTTTACCTCTCAAACAGTCAGAGTCAGTCTAACCAGACAGACTCTGTGGCTCATGACATGATGAGCAGCCGAGTCCTGTGGGCCTACAATCTGCAGCCTTTAATCCCTTCCATTTTTTTCCACATTAGCAGACTGATGCAATCTTTAAAGATAATTACAGTTTAGCTCTGATTCTGAAAAAAACTTTAGATTGGGTTAAGCGAAATAAAAACCATAATAGATTATTTTAAGGATCTTCATTCCATCCCTATAAAAATATAAAAAAATCAGGTCCCATATTAAAAACCTAAATTCATATATTTTATAGGGGGAAGCGGGTGGCCTAGTGGTTAGGTCATTACGCTCAGAATCCAGAACTTCTGAGTTAAAGCCCCACTCCCACAGACTCCCATTCTTGGTCCCTGAGCAAGACCCTTAACCCCACTCTGCTCCCTGGCGGCTGTACAATGTTAGTCCACTGCTCCCCGAGGGGATGGGTTAAATGCAGAGAGTTCATTTTGTTGCTATGTACTTCTGACAGTTTCATTACCATAAAAGCTGAAAAAGTTGTATAACCAATTCATTATTCACAGAATGAAGTAATTGCTGTCTTTAATCATAAAAAAGAAAATGTGATATTCACTCTCTGCATTTGACGAATCCCCTTTGGAAGCAGTGGGCTGCCATTGCGTGTTCCCCAGGGAGCAGTGTGGGGATAAGGCTCTTTCTCAGGAACCCAGAATGGATAATGTGGGGATTGAACCAGCTAATTGCATTGATTGAAAAGGGGCCCTGCCTGATTCTGGTATCGCTGCAACACTACTTATATGTTTTAGTTCACCTTCAACTTTTACACGCATCCAAACCAGGCAGAAGAACAGACAGTCATCTCCAGTGTGAGATCAATCAAGTTCAATTATTATTATTCTTTCAGATGGAAAGCATAAATTTATTTTAAAAAATAAATTCTAAAATTAAAAGATTAAGTACATTAGTCTTTATTTTAGTTATTGCTAATTCCACTTTTAATCACTTGGTGCATGTTGTTAACCTGACTCCGCCAGATGTATTTGCTCCGCATATCTATCTGGAAACCTTCCGTAGAAGTAATTGGGAAGGGGCGAAAATACTGGTTAGCTGATTGGCCTATGTTGGTGATAGACGGGCCAAATAAACCAATCAGATCAACGAAGCATATGACGTACTAAGAGAGCAACGACGAAAACACAACCACAAGCCAGGCTACTCTTGCCGAAACCAGTCGGGAGAAGAGCAAAAACATCTTTTCCTCTGAGAAAAGCCTCCAGAGCAGTGTTTTGCTCTTCTTTCAGTGAAAAAATACTCTGTAATTCTTGCTCGATAAACTTGCTCGATAGCCACGCTACAGCTAGTTTCATCGGCTGAAGCCGCCATGTTCTTTAGACTAAACTGTCGCGCTTCTTGTTGCGTCACACCTCAACCCGCCTCAAAGCCAACGCTGATTGGACGTTCGTTTGGTGAACGGCTCCAAATTTTCTTTAACGGAGAGTAGCCAGACTGATTTGCAAGTGAAACCTTGAAAGCTCGCGTGAACAGGATGGTCTCACGAGGCTAGCATGTTGTTGCTCTACTGTAGAAATGGTTCTGTACCTTCTCCCAAATGCTATACTTCCCCTGAAGCACCAGCAGGAGGTAGTCCCTCTCTGCGCCGCCTTTACTCTTCCTTTTACTATGTTAGAAGACCGAGTCCATTGCTTCTTATCCTCAATTGCACCGCTCGCTAGCTATGTACATCACAGTAGCCGGCACCAGACACACGTCACACATCCCTTCCTCCAAACGCTGCTGTCTGTGTGGTTGATACGGACTACTGGAGGGTTAATAGTACAGCCATGATCTTTCCTGGCAATCCTTTCAACCTTAAAACTAACAATATGGATCTAAAATTCAAATCAGATTTTGGGAGTCTAGGGCAAACATAGACTTTTCAAGCCAAACTGAGCTGATTTTGGCCTCTTCACCTGATCCAGACAAACAGTTAATGATACAGCCATAATTTTTTTTTGGCAATCATTTTAACCTTAAAACTCATATGCTACTGGCCTAAGTGGTCTGATCTGCCTCTCTGACAGACGTGCCGCCACTGCACCAGTAGACTTTAAAAGAAAAGAGAGCAAGACGCAGGCCAATCACAGGCCTCCACGTCGGGAATCCGGGTAGGGTCTAACCACGAGCTGGTAAGCTGCATGGCCTCTTTCCTACCACTGCTGCATGTCTGATCACACCATCACGCTGGTTTAGTGTTGATGATATCACCAGTGCGACAGAAATCTGAAAAGAAAACAATTGAGAGCAACATGTAAGGAAGCCAGGGGGTAGTAAATATGCTTTATTGTTTTTCTCTTTTATCTGTCCAGATCTCTCTCACCTGAGCTGCTCCATGTTTATCAAATGTAAACAGGGTGGTTTCGGCTTTTTAGAACAGACGTGGCTGGAACAGTCTGTTGATGTCCATATGTTGCACTCAATGGTATCACCTCAATTAGCGTGTCAACCTGGTTCTGGTGTTCCCACAGCATGCCGATCAGAGCCTACGCAATTTTAACGCAGGTTGCTTGCTGAGTCGTTTGACCCTGGTAAACATGCGTCAGTGAGCTGTTCCCACTTCCAATAAAAGCCGATTGTTCCAGGGTTTAGACAGGTTTTTCGGCCAGTGGGAATAGGGTATACATTTTTTGCATTGGAAATGTAACCATCAATTTGTTGTCTAAATCCATTCATGGTAGAGGGTTTGTTGAGGAGGGGCTTCTTATTTCCAGTGGTCATTGGGAATGTGGCTATTGTCATGATTGAGTTTCTCTTTAACTGGCATTTATTGTGTTTCTTCTCTGATACGGTTCAACATGTCTTTATATCATCAACATGCCAATACATTTACACCCTTTATGCCTTTTATGCCACCAGAACTAAAGAAATACATATCAGCTCAAACAAAGACTGTACATAAGGACATACATTATGTGGAATAGATAATACAGTGATTTATGCAATAGTTGTTTTTTATTGTAATATACAAACTAATCCTTTTCATAAATTACATATTTTTTTAAACCTAAAAGTCCCAGCTGAGTCCTTTTTTTTTTAGCCAAGGGAATTTAAAATAAGGTAAAGTTAGAGTCTGATATTTATTGCCTTTTAGCTTGTGGAGAACATAAAAGTCAGTTAAAGGTCTATGATTATTACTTTCAATGCCACTTCTTATTGCAAAATTAATTGTAAAGCAGAAGAAAAGACAATAAAACTCTGAAAGTAGCACATTCTGACTCACAGCTCGCCAGCTATCCCCATCACTCTCTGTGACTCCACAATTGACACCTAAAGTGGGAGCTGAACATCAACTCCCTCACCAAAAAGACCCAGCAGAGAATGCACTTCCTGCAGCAGCTAAAAATATTCAACCTGCCAAGGACAATGATGGTGGAGTTCTGGTGGAGTTCCTCTCCTCCTCCATAATCCTCTGGTACGCTGGTGCCACCACCAAGAACAAGGGTAGATTGCAGCGTATGATCCGGTCTGCAGAGAAGGTGATCGGCTGCAATCTTCAATCCAGGATATGCACACCTCCAGGACTCTGAGGCATGCAGAGAAGATTGTGGCTGATCTCTCAAACTACAGCCACAAACTATTTTAGACACTTCCCTCTGGCAGGAGACTGTGATTCATCAGGACCAAAACCTCACACCACAAAACATTTTCTTCCCATCCGCTACCAACCTTATCAACAAGGCCCAGAGACCCCATGACACAGACACTGCCTCTCTCCATCCCCTGTTAAAGACCTAGAAGCTACACCAACATAGCATTTCCAGACCTCCTGTGTTACATTAACGCACAGTCCACTGTGTATATAGTATATACACTCATCGGCCACTTTATAAGGTACACCTGTCCAACTGCTCGTTAACACTTAATTTCTAAGCAGCCAATCACATGGCGGCAACTCAGTGCATTTAGGCATGTAGACATGGTCAAGACAATCTCCTGCAGTTCAAACCGAGCATCAGTATGGGGAAGAAAGGTGATTAGAGTGACTTTGAACGTGGCATGATTGTTGGTGCCAGAAGTGCTGGTCTGAGTATTTTAGAAACTGCTGGTCTACTGGGATTTTCACGCACAACCATCTCTAGGGTTTACAGAGAATGGTCCGAAAAAGAAAAAACATCCAGTGAGCGGCAGTTCTGTGGGCGGAAATGCCTTGTTGATGCCAGAGGTCAGAGGAGAATGGCCAGACTGGTTCGAGCTGATAGAAGGGCAACAGTGACTCAAATAACCACCCGTTACAACCAAGGTGGGCAGAAGAGCATCTCTGAACGCACAGTACGTTGAACTTTGAGGCAGATGGGCTACAGCAGCAGAAGACCACACCGGGTGCCACTTCTTTCAGCTAAGAACAGGAAACTGAGGCTACAATTTGCACAAGCTCATCGAAATTGGACAATAGAAGATTGAAAAAACGTTGCCTGGTCTAATGAGTCTCGATTTCTGCTGCGACATTCGGATGGTAGGGTCAGAATTTGGCGTCTACAACATGAAAGCATGGATCCACCCTGCCTTGTATCAACGGTTCAGGCTGGTGGTGGTGATGTCATGGTGTGGGGAATATTTTCTTGGCACTCTTTGGGCCCCTTGGTACCAATTGAGCATCGTTGCAATGCCACAGCCTACCCGAGTATTGTTGCTGACCCTGTCCATCCCTTTATGACCACAATGTACCCAACTTCTGATGGCTACTTTCAGCAGGATAATGCACCATGTCATAAAGCTGGAATCATCTCAGACTGGTTTCTTGAACATGACAATGAGTTCACTGTACTCAAATGGCCTCCACAGTCACCAGATCTAAATCCAATAGAGCATCTTTGGGATGTGGTGGAACGGGAGATTTGCATCATGGATTTGCAGCCAACAAATCTGCGGCAAATGTGTGATGCCATCATGTCAATATGGACCAAACTCCCTGAGGAATGCTTCCAGCACCTTGTTGAATCTATGCCATGAAGAATTGAGGAAGTTCTGAAGGCAAAAGGGGGTCC